CAACCCCCCACTAGTGATGATGTACCATTACAATGTATCGTTGGTTGGTGGCCATGTTTGCGTGTTTGCTTGTCGTTAGTGGTCTCTCCACCGTGTGCCTTTTTCTGTCTCATATTTCTTGTTATTTTCGGCCTGGTCCCTTTTTGTCCTCGCTCTCTTTATTTCATTTTCTCTTTCCTTACTGTTTCCTTGTATTTTCTTCTCTTTTTCTCTTTTTCTCTCTTTTTCTGTGCCAGATGGCCTGGTCTCTGCTTGCGTTGCGAAGTACCAAGATTGAACTAAGGGGGTGTACCTCATTCTCGCCGGCCCGTGATTGTGACCCTAGTCTCAGTTGTCACCTCTCATAGCGCGCAGAGGGAGTGGAGGACGCCAGAATATCTGTCGTTGATTTCTGTTGACTTGCGGACCCCTCGGGGTCATTTTATTTGAGTGTACCCTTTAGGGTAAGTTAGCTTGCGACCACGGGAATCGACCGCGTCGAGTGTTGTATCAGTACGGACATACGAAGGTACTGGGTAGAGAGAGATCGGAACGGCTTTTAATGTGAAGACAACAACAACAGACAACAACAATCCCATGGTTCGAGGGGAAAAGGAGTTGGGAAGATTCCTGCGGGGGACATGATTGATGAAAGGGTCTCATTCTCCGTCAGGTCAGGGAACATTTCCGAAACAGGGTACAGTTTTTGAGAAAAGAAGTCACGGCAGGGTTTTCGGACGCACCGGGGTGAAATTGGGCACTGACCAATTATATCAGTGCATTTATTGCTGTTGATAACTGTGTAGCCAGGTGTGTCGCTTTTTGACCAGGGTGTACCTTGTTGTGTCGTTTTCCCTTTTATTATCATGTCCCCAGGTGTGCGGCTGGTGCTACTTATTTGTGATCACCTTGGTGCTGCTCGCCCTTCACGCTCTCGTCTACAAGTCCGTCTACACGCTTGCGGCGGTTTCGCTCCTGCTCGGCAACTTCCTGTGGTGGTGAGCACAATGAGATCTGCAAGGACTCTCGACAACAGCTATGCCGGTTGGTATATTGTGTTTTCGGAGTACTTGTGCTTTGTTTCGACCGACGATGTGCATCTGCTCGTCGTTTGAAAAACAACACGTTGTTGTGTCGCAGTGTTGAATCAAAACGACGTGTTCATTTGATAAAAAGCACGTTGTGTCCCGCGGCCGCACCCAAACAACCCGCTGTTCGGATGATCCGCGGTGGTAGTGTTCGAAAAACGCTCTTTGACACGACATCGGGTGTGTGCTACAAGTTCTTACTCACTGGGTTTGATGTACGGTTTTGCTGAACAGGCCGGTGAACAACACCTGCTATCCTTACGAGGCATTCTGCAACTCATGGCTGTTCGCGGTGTGGCGGAGGTATTTCAGGTGCGGGACGAGGGTCGCGGGGTACGTCGCTAAGCTTTGCAGTAAAATTTCGTTGTTGGCATGGAATGTTATCCTAACGTGGGGCTCGCTGGTTGTCCAAAGAATCTCGCGTACAGCGTCTGGCGATCCATTCAAGCAAAGGGATCGCTGAGCATCGAACAAACTGACAACGCTCTTGTTCGCATGCGTCGCTCCACTAAACGACCTTTCGGCATGTAACGACCCCCTGTTTTCAGGTGGCAGTGCGTGATTGAAGAGCCCCTGGATCCGGATAAGCGCTACATGTTTGCCGAGATGCCGCACGGAGTCATGGTGAGATATTGGTGCATTCTCCGTTTTTCGCCTTGTACGCGGTGATAGTCAAGGGTCCCCTTCCACGGTACAAGGAATATTTTTCGCGACCTCTCTTCGGCCTTCGGCATTCCAGCGAAACCCTGAATAGGCGGCTTTGATAATGCTACCGACGCTGTTTTTAGGTTTTTGTCCGTCCTCATACAGAGTGTTGGAGAAACTCAAGCTCCAGGATGGGTGATGGGAGAGCTTCCAGCTTCGTTGGATACTCTCTCGACCCTCGTTGTTCTGCAAGCTGGAACCATTGCACCCCCCCCCCTCCCCCCCACGCGCGAAACTGAGCGCAGTGGTCAGGCCACTGCTCAGCTCTGTGAAAAAACTCAGCATGCCCAACGGGTTCAGCAAGAGAAGAAGCTCACTATCCCGTGCGATTAACCTCCCCTCTCCCCCTACACCGCCCCGCTCTGAAACACACAGCCGTTGGGTCAGCTTTTGAGCTGCAGCATTGTGCGCCACGTGTTTCCCGGGGTCAAGCACACCTCCGGGGTCGCCGCAGACGCTGTCTTGCGCACCCCTGGGATTCGCCTCCTGTACTCGTGGATGGGCATCCGCAAGGCTGGCCGCACGAGCATCCTTGACATGTTCGAGGAAGACATCAACGTGAGCAGACAAAGAGAGGAGGCGACCGCATAGTTGGGGACAAGGGTTGCAAACGAGGGAAGAGGTACCGCGGTACGTAGTCGTCATGCGTGACGGCAGTACGAGTGTGGCCTTGCAGCCCATCACAGTGTTAACGAAGTCGTGAGAGATTTTGCCGGCCAGGTCGTTAAGACGCGAGGCGCTCGGGTTGCTCTACCGTGCCCAAGTTTATCGAAAGGTAGAAGAATGTCCTGCACGACTTGGACCTGAATGAGACTTAGCAAGAGAACGGACAAAAACGGTAGACCTCGGCATGGTCGACGAGCTTTCGGGATCACGTGTGTGCTGGGAGAATACAGACGATCACGAACCAATGACTAGTCTTACATCGGTGTATCATCGTTACTTTTTTACCGCCCCCGCCCCCCGC